TATATCAACACTTTATTACGTTATGTCAAAACTCCATTCCTTTATGTGGATATTTAATAAGAATATGTTACCTCTTTCTTATGTGATTTAAAACTATCTTTACATTGTGTTAATTCTTTATCATGTTGATTACAAATGTTCATTACGCGCTGTAAAATACATTTACATTATGTCAAAGTTGATAACCGTGTTTTCAGGACTGGGAAGGGGGGGGGGGGGCTGATTAATTAGGACGAATTACTGACACATTATATGAGGGGGGGGGGGAGGGGTCTGACTTCCTCTTTTTTCCGACATAACTTTATCATAGAAAATGTTCTTTGAAATTCAGACCCACTTTTTGCTGAAGTATAAGGGTAATGTAGTATATTTGGAATTTTTTTAAGGACTGATCGAAGTTGGACCCCCCCCCTCTTTTCACCCGAAATAGGATTTTCGAGTTTGGATTTTTTTTCGCTTTTTTTGTACGTTATTTTTTTCTGGCTGACAACCCTCCCTCAGCTTTCAAAAACGATGCAACGTCCACTGGAATTAGTAATTTTTCAACCATTCCAGGACCAGAATTCTGTTACAAAAATCTACGTTTTCACTTAAATTAACACGGGCTCATATCAGTTGCGATCTTGGGTTCTTGAAAAGAGTAGCTATAGGGGGACGATATGGTGTCTAAGTTGGGGACCAGGGGGTGAAAGCCCGAAAGCTCTCAGGCTTTAGATTTTTTTTATAAAACGTTTCAACTTATTTCAGTTATACTTTATGTAAAACTAATGCAATGTCCTACAAAGTAAAATCAATTGATTAATTTCATGCATATTTTGGTCACTAAAGATGGGAGGGCGGGATCCTCCCTTTCCCCACCGACCCACCAGTGCACGTATGAAATACGATGTATTTACACTTCTTTTTTTAAAAAAAAGGAGGGTTAAAGACTGATAAAAAGCTTAGAACAGTGTTTTGTAGTTAGATCAGAAGTTTCGGACTTTTCAAATCTCAATAAAGATTCCATGGGAACATGATCCTATTTTTAATTTCACCTGATATTTAATTAAGGATTAATTAAGTCTTGTGTATAATTTAATATTTGATACGTTTAATTTAAATTATTTGCAAGTTTAACATATGTGCATGTAATATTAAAAACACAAAACGAACTTTTAGGCATAACCTAAACCTTACGTCACATAATAAAGAGTTGAAATATTCTAAGATATACTGACAAGAGGCTAAGCATTTTAGACACAGTGTAGAGATACAATGGCATAACATAATAATGATTTGTCAAAAAGTAAGGGAAAATTGACATCATGTAATAGATTCCCGGCGTCATGTAGCATATTGATGACACAATATAGTAAAGAATTGGCCACATGTGACAATTTTTTTCACATCATATATGAAATTCTGACATCGTGTTATAGCGACTTGATATTGAATTAAAGATAAGTTCACATCATGTAATGAACTACTTAGACCAAACAGTAGAGAGTGCACATAATGTAATAATGAGTTTAAATTATATAATAACATCTTTACACCACGTAAAATTGTTTTGACTTAATGTCATAAAGAGCTGATATAATGCAATGGAAGGTTGGCGCAATGTAATTGAAGTGCGAGTTAATGCAATAAAGACTTAACATAATGTAATGGAAAGTTGACATAACGCAATAGTAGTGTGTGTTAATGTCATAAAGAGTTGACAAAATGTAATGTAAAGTTGACATAACGCAATAGTAGTGTGTGTAAATGTCAGAAAGGGTTGACATAATGTAATGGAAAGTTGACATAACGCAATAGTACTGTAAGTAAATGTCACAATGTGTTGACATAATGTAATGGAAAGTTGGCACAATGCAATTGTAGTGTTCTGCTATAAGGCAGTGACGGCGTTCCATACGTTTCCATTCATATGTTAACATACAATTATTGCGGGTTTTTTGAGGTCAATACAATGATTTAGCCATCTGAGGAGTACAATATTCACCGAGTCCAAAGGGTTCGGTTACCGATGGCTAAATCATTGAACCGTATAACAGCAATAATTGTTTTATTATATGATTCACTGATAAAATGATGCAGCTCTTTACATGCTTGCATTTTATTAAGTCCTAGCCAAATACAAGAGAGAAGCAGAATTAAAATGTGAATAAACCTTACCAGTCGTATCAATTTGAAATGTTTTTTTTAAATCAATTTTAGTAAAAAAAAAAAATGCCATGAGAGAAATATATATTATCAGTCTTTTTTATAGGATAGATTTTGAAAGGAAGGAGTTTTATTAGGAAAAACTGACTGCCAAAAAAATTGTTGTTCAGTAAAAGTGTTGGAGGGGAGGGGGGTGTCCCTGCATCCCCTCTTACCTCCTCACCCAAAATATATATTCGCTTATGTTTTTTTCACATGAAAATAAAAATCATAGTCGTTTAAATAGCTTTCTAAAACAATTTGTATCAATTTGGAATTTCCGAATCTATTTTTAGATCAATGTAGAGGAAATAAATCCTTGTATTGACCTGGAACGTCACGTACAGGTCAATACAACGTAATATTTTTCTAACATAGTTGGATCTCAGCCAATCAGAGAGATTGAAATTATTCAATCATATAATAACATGATATATCTTTGGGAGTCTGTCAGAGTCTGTTAGGTTACAATCAACGTGTTTTAAATTGAAGTCATCGCGTTTATCATAAAACTTTGTTGTTAAATTACCATTAACGTCTTATAGTTAAGTAAAATATCTACATTTGTAAATATGAAACAGATGTCAGACTCTGTGGTATCCTTTAGTATACAAGCTCACTGGGATGTGTTAAAAAAATTTCAGAGGGGACATCAAACAAATATTAATTTCGAGACTGATTCGATACGTTCCTTTGAACTCGAAATAAAAGACAACAATGAGTTTAACAAATATGTTTCATACTTGGATATTTTACAAGAAAAGATATAAATGGTAACCTTTCTAAAAACAATATTTTATTAACGTTATGATTTATTATAACGGTACATGTGTATGCATATGGAATTTATATCCCCAAGTTGATTCCAATTCCAATTGCATGTTCTACTTATTAACAATTTCTAAAACTAGGCAAACTATTAGCAAATAAGTTGATGATACAAGAATATTAACAATCTCGTTAAAAGCCATCGTTTTTGCAAATTCTACAATCAATACAATAGTCTTTTCAGCAAATACAATCTATAGCAAATCGTTAGGCCATTATTGTCCCCCGCTTGAAAAGTGGGGGATATTAATTTGGGTTTGTCCGTCCGTCCGTCCGTCCGTCCGTCTGTCCGTCCGTCCGTCCGTCTTTCTGTCTGTCTGTAACGCTTTCGTTTCCACACGATATCTCGAGAACCCTTTGAGCTTTTGCAATGAAATTTAGCATAGCAACTCCCTATGGACTTAAGAAGACCCCTATTGATTTTGAGGTCAAAAAGTCAAAGGTCAAGGTCATAAATAAGCAAATTCTGTCTGTTAAAACACTTTCGTTTCCACACGATATCTCTAGAACCATTTGAGCTATCGCAATGAAATTTTACATAACAACTCCCTGTGGCCTAAAGAAGACCCCTATTGATTTTGAGGTCAAAAGGTCAAAGTTCAAGGTCTTAAATTTATACATTCTGTCTGTGTGTAACACTATCATTTCCGGGCGATATTTCAAGAAGATTTTGAGCTTATGCAATGTAATTTTATACCAAAACTCCCTAGGACGTCTCTCGCCCCTCTCAAAGTGCCCCGCCCCGTTTGTTTTATTAGTATTTATAGTATTACATGTCGCTATTTTTAGCGCAGGGGCATGTGGAGAGTTATTGCGTATAAAACAGGTTCTCGGCGGACTTTATGTTCTTATTACATCTATTATAACTGTTTAATAAAGGCTAAATAAATCAAACACCATGGATTGTGTAAAATTTTGAGAATACCGAACATGAAAACATGAATATACATGTATGTGACTTCAGTTCTGCATATACTTCGCTCCATGTACAGAGACTCCGTGGTCTAGCGGTTATGTCTCACGCTTCAAATGTGAGAGGTCCCGGGATCGAATCTCGGTCGAACCTTTCTTTTTTTTTTTTAAATACTTTTTTTTTACTAAATGATAGTATTCAGCATGTGAAATGAAAAATTTATGAGGTTATAAAATCATCATTACAGTGTGATAAATATTCCATATAAAAAAATCTTCTATACACATAATAAAGAATAAGCAATCAAATCTTTATATGCATATTGACATACATGTATTTTATTTCCTTCAGTATACATGTATACATTTAATAATTCTACAAATTCAGTCAGGGGGAGCCGACTTTTTCCTTAAGCGGGGGACACGAATTCTCTGAATTAGCTTGTTTTCATCCTACTTTTGCTCGGATCATGACCAGGAGTACACGGCGGATGTGACCCGTTGACATGGGATGTTTACTCATCCATGGTACTTGATCCCACCTCAAATGTTTTAAAATATCTGTGTGCCGCAATGCTCCTAGGTTGTAGAATTTTAATGAACATTTTGAGTTTGGTAAGTCTTCGCTGTCTATCCCGCTGTGCATTACCAGTTACGGAGGTTTGAAATCCAGTATGGGTAGGAAGTTCGACGAGTACATGTATTTTTAACTGAAATGGTTTTGAAGAATCTCTGCCTTCGACGGAAGTTCGGAAAGCAATAATTGGATTATGGTTTTTACCTATAGACCAACAAAAAATTTTCATTGTACTTATCAAGAGTTTTTCCATAAAAAAAACTCAATTGCCAGACGATAAATAAATACATGTGCTATAAACATGATAAAGTAGAATCATGGAATTGATTTTTTTTGGAACAAACTAAAAATGTTTAAATTATGATTTCTTCATCCCTTTTCATTTATAGGAAATCACTAAATTAGATGTACCATTTCGCAAATAACAAATGATAATATTAATGTATAATTAAATGCAGATGCATTTTATTTTTGCTTACAATCATACACGACTTACTACTCAAAAACTATTCATTAGATCAGACAAAAGCCTGCTAGTTTGATCTAGACAATTCCCTTCTTGTGAAAGATCGTATGTATGTTTGTAAGGTTGAGACTCGGTCAATCCTTGAGAGGCATAATGTAAAATATCAACAGGCGGATCCAGAAAAATATAAAATAGTCTTTTCTTTGTTATTTCCTCAGTACTGTTTACATTCAACAACAGCCGTCGAAAAAGAATTCTTTTTACTTCACAAAAAGGACTCGAACAGCTGACATCTTCATCAGACACCAGATCCAAGGTTAACAGGACCAGGAACCTTTGATATTTTTTGATACAATTAGAAATCCATATGTCCATGTTTTTAAATATATCCATTTCACAATTTTCAGGAATGACAAGGCGGACATTACTTCTTGACTTTATTTCATTGAAAAGCTGCAGAAACCTAGTTTCTCCCTGATTTGGCATTGCAACTACTACGATGTCTCTATCCAATGTATGTGAAAGCCCTGAAATTAGAAGACAATATTTCTTATTTGATATTCTGAATTCTGTAAACGTATTTAAACTATTTATTTTAGCAGTGATCCTATTTTATACCGCTTGTATTTACTAATTCTTCTCCACAAACTAAAAAAAAAAATGCGACGTATATGTGCAGCAGCTCGAAACAAAATGCAGTACTTCACGATAACACTAGCCAGTTGAGAAGGGAGAACTTATTGCAATTTTGAATGAACTTATCTGTACGATTAAGAAATAAATGCCATCTGCTCAAACTTCGATAAGAAATTTAAAAAACATAAGTCCAAACATCACATAATAAAATGAACCTACTTAACGGAGACTCCATCAAACTCTCTAGAGATGATGCAGCATCAGGTGTGATATTCAGCTTCGCTTTCGCTTCCCGCCTTTTTCGAAAAAAGTTAAACCAAACAACAAATGCAATCATTAATAAAATGAGAAAAGAAGCCACAAATATCACGTAGTCAAAGGATGAGGGTTGAAACGATGATTTGCTTGGCTGAGACTCTTGTTGTATTGTTTCCAGGCTATAATTAGGTGTAATTTGGACAGAAGCTGTTGGCATCACTGAAAAAGAAAATTTATATCATAAAATTATGTAGTTTACTTTTTGTACAATTGATTTATTTTTTAATAGTAAACAATCTTAAGAATATGAAGACGTTTCAGAGATTTCCAAACGATACATTTCAAAAGCTTAACTCACCAATGGGTTGACAAAAGTTGAAATCGTCAATTTTTGTCTGGATCTATCAATTTAAAAAAAATCTATGTTTCATTTAACTGTTGTTAACAGCATTTCATTGAAATCTTCAACTTTTGCCTAGATATATGATTTAAAAACAGCTTGTAACTGTATTTCATTGAAATCGTCATTTTTTGTCTAAATCTACCATTTAAAAAAATTTGATAAATAAGCATAAAGTTACCTGAAAGAGGAAAGTCATAAGTATTTTGCAAAAAGTTTTTTTTTTTTTAAATTTACGTAAATTAATTTCAAAATACCCAAACGATGATATTTTGATTAGGAGGAATTGCTGTGAAACTGAAGTTCTTCTGACAAAGACTCTGAAATTGAAAAAAAAAAGATTCATGATTTCAAGAGTACTATTATTCAATCTCTTGCGTTTGAATTTCACATTAATCTCACTTCAAAAAAAGTTAAAAGGCACTATACAGAATATGTATTTAGTTTATTTACCTTATAATCACTGCATTTTATGGTGCCGCTGTCCAGGATTGTTGTAATATTCCCTATGTAAATAGAAGCTATTGGATTCCATCGAAGGCGTTCAGCATTCTCTCTACATTTCAGATTTTGAAAATTTATTTCTGCTTGAATATCAAACGTGGTGCCTCCATATTTCCTCTCAGCAAAGTTTATCCTTGAGCAAGTACATAGTAATGACACAGGGTCTAAAAGATGAAAAAATAGACAAAAAAGTAAACAAATTTTAAATAGGCTGGGGGGGTGGCAGCCATTTTCAGACTATTTCGATCTCCTTTAAAAGAAGAGCTCCATATAAAGCTATACAAAAATGATCAAATTTTAAAACTAAAATGTATGATTTTTTTCTTTGCCAAATGATAGTTGACAGCTTAAGATATCGTATCTTAAAGATATGTATGCCGTGTTAAATAGAACTTTTGCACAGCTGAAACCGAACAAAAATTTCTGGAGTATGATAAGCTACCAAAAATGAAGCATTCTTGCTAATTCGACGAAATTTTATTCGGTATTAACAAAGTACTGATCAGGAAAAGAACACGATATTCTCATGCATATTTATAAAGGACTGACGTTTATCCTGGATCTGCGCATGTGCGCGGGAAAAGCATCGCGAAAATCATCAGGTCGAGGAAAATATTTTTTGTGACGTCTGTTCAGTGAGGGACACAAATAGACCAATCAGCTCAATGAGTTGCATTTATGGGTTACTACATAAAATACTACATGTGTTTTTCAAAAAGGCTAGTTTTTTAAATCGCTCTCAGAAAGACTTGATGCATTATGTACATTATTATCAACTAATCCCATGCTCATATTTGCATACAAATGATTAACAATGATGAAAATTAAAGTTTTCCCCACTCCATTGTACAGGTCCGTTTGTTTAGAGTTTCCCCGTGCTGTACTGCTAGTGGACATTTTCGGTTGGGTGAACATTTACGGATCTTCAGTATGGAGCGCATTATGCGCAAAATATATTTTATGTCAAGTACAATGTATGGAAAGTAATTTAAACTACTATGTTTACACCCTGAATGGGATATCGTCAATAATCCCTTTTGGTTTTTTAATATGAGCTACATAACATATGTAGATGAAACTTACATACCATACGTCTTGCCTTCTTAGAAATATAGTTGTGCTAATAAAATAAAATTGGTCAAGGAATTCCAGGTCTCTAAAAACTATTCCAGTTTGAGGGCACAACCATTAAGAAAATTAATTCAGGTAGGTAGCATCGTTTTTTTAAGTGGGTGGGGGGATAGAACAGTTAGAATAAAAATCAACTAGCTCGAAGAAATCTGACAAATAAAATAGGTTCCAATATCTATCAGTACTAAATTTTATTCATTCGCTACAATTTACTGCCAAACTCCAAATTTCACTTTCGAATTAGCTCGAGCCAATGCTGATAACCTACTTGCAAGATTTTTTATATTATTTTCAAGGGGTCAGAAATACTGTGGTTCATATGTAAAGAATATAATTATATTATTTAGTAGTATTCTGGTTTTGGCATTCGGTATATTGTGCAGATTTATACATGATATTCTGTGGAATACTTTTTGTTGTTTTGAACCATTAAGAAATGCAGAATCGAATGTATCTAATAACCATTTTGATTGATCAAATTATATCATTTGTTTGTATTGGTTATTTCATTTTGGCACAACATGGTTTCCACACTTCTTTATCCATAGTCGCTGACAGCTGTAGAAGTTCACCCAACCGAAAATGTCCATTGAAAAGACAATTGAACTCTTAGGTGCTCTCAATACTGACAATCCCTAACTCACGTGTTTGTAGTAAAAACGTAGTAGACCATCATGCTTTTAGGTTCATTCACGAGATTGGACCATTGTTTGCTGTAAACATGCGAGACAACGTGATCATGAATATTTCAATAAGAGGCGGTTTTTTATCCGACACGGAGAGAAAATAATTTTTAGTTTTTTACCAAATAATATTTCATAACTTTTAAAAGTGATGGAGTGGAATTGTCTCATTTGCAGAAAGTATATAACTTATATAACTTGATGAGACACCACATATATTTATTACTTTTAAAATAAAACACTAATACGGCATATATAGCTTTAAAAAATAAGTTAAATCTGGTGATTAATTTGTGATTAATTTGTTGACCCCCCAGCCTCCTTAAATAGAAAAGTCAAAAAAGAATCAACAAATCTATGCGTGAAAAGAAGAAAACACTTGCTGTGGCCTTTAACTCGACACTTAGATATGTTGACGGCGTATTGTCAATTAACAATTATGGCAAATTCCATTCTTATGTCGATACGATATATCCTAGTGAGCTTTAGATAAAGATTCTGGAACATCTGTTTCATATTTGGATATGTTACTTGAAAAAGACGTCAATGGTAATCTAACAACCAAGCTCTATTATAAACGTGCGTGATGACTTTGACTTTACTATCGTCAAATTCCCTTACTTATGCAGCAATATACTAGTACTTTCATAACCTGCACACGGAGTTTATATATCTCAGATGATTCGATAAGCAAGAGCATGTTCTACGGATGAACAATTTCTAAAACGAAGTAAGTTTTTTTGACAAACAAGTTGATGAAACAAGAATTTCAGAAGTCTCGTTTAAAGTCATCATTTCGTAAGTTATATGGTCGATACAATGATCTTGTAAGCAAGTACAATTAAACATTGAGTCAAATGCTGACTAACGTTTTTTATACTAATTGTTAGTCCATTATTTATACACTGAATTGGTTGATTGATTGATTGATTGTATATTGTTTAACGTCCCTCTCGAGAATTTTTCATTCATATGGAGACGTCACCGTATGTCGGTGAAGGGCTTCAAATTTTGACCTTTACTCGGCACTCAGGGCCATTGAGCAGTGAGGGATCTTTATCGTGCCAACGCCTGCCGCTGACACGGGGCCTCGGTTTTTAAGGTCTCATCCGAAGGACCCGCAACTTTCACTTCGAAGTGCTGAGCGCATGGCGAAGGAACAGTTGCTACCCATTTTTTATCGACTTAGGTCATTCGCGGCCGAGATACGAACTCACGACCTCCCGATCACGGAGCGAGCGCTCTACCGACTGAGCTACCGTGAACGATACACTGAATTGACGACGAATTTTTCCGTTATTTCCTGATTATGATAAGGAGCACATGGTGGGTGTGACCGGTCGGCAGGGGATGCTCACTCCTCCATGGCATCTGATCCCACCTCTGTTGTTTTGGAGGTCCGTGTTAGCCCTGCTTCTGTTTTGTATTGTTTTATGGACTTTTGATCTTGAATACTGTTCTTAATCTCCAAATGTTTTATTGCTAAAGACTGCGAAGTGATTCCAATGAATCATTTGTCGAAAGCATTAGCTAAAAAGAAGAAATTCAGCATGCAACTGATGAAGTATCCCCATTAAATGGTGGTCAGGCATGAATGTTCTGGTAAATGAGGACATCAAATGATTGCATTGAAATTCTTTTAAAATATAATCAAACCTGGTTCAGTTGTTCCAGCTATCCGGGCAGATGTAAATACACCTGAAGTTAGAATTAACAAAAACATTCCTAAAACATCACAACAAGGTGCTGGAATAGAGAAACAGATAAAATTATCAACGTATTTTACACGGCAAAAGTGACATTCAAAATAATATTAGATAAATCCAGAAAATTCCTCTCTAAAAATTGTTGTTTTCTATTTCTGTTATTCAATGAAGCCCCTCGAAATATATCCAAATCTGCAGTTTTCCATTAAAAAAACACCTCTCTTGGATATCTCTACATTCTTGCTGGTAAGTGAACCAGCTTTAACTTCTTACATGTATTCAACGTGTTTTTGATAATCTTAAACCTCATTGAGTTAATTAAACCATGCAAGTATATTATTTTCTTTATACACAAATACATGTACATGAGTTTTAGCAGGATATCCATTTTATATTTTACCCTTTTAAAAAAATATAAATTTGAAATAAAGGGGTATAAAGTC